CACGATGTGTTGGCATCGATTTCAATTGAAAACTGCATGACAGCTTTCGAAAGAGGTGATTTGCAATTTTTAAAAGGTAAATTAGGTCTTGAAAAAGTTTTTACATGATTCGCAATGATAACAGTTCAAATGTATTTTACCAAATCACGCAATAAACACGTTGTTTTTTTCTTGAGTAGCGTGAACTGATCGTGAACTCCGATTTGACCATGTTATATCGAGGTGGAATTGATTTTGAAATAATTTTAGCTTTCAATCTAATGACTGTGTCTATCGCGGAAAGTATTTACTTACAAACAAAGAGGTGCTAATTCCACAAATTTGACTAGCCGCTACGTATCGTGCGACTAGGTCTATTGTTTATAAATTATAATCCACGACTGGCAGGATGCGTGTCGGTCGGTACGTAATTATACCAACAATCAGACAATAGTCCTCGTCGGAAGCATTTCCGCGGTGGTCACTAATTTTGAGTGACCGGCGTGGCGAACAAAGCTTTTTCACATCTGATATTGGCATGTCAAATATGAAATCAAGCGCCGAGGTGGGAACACATAGCGCCGAGGTCCCAAGTGAAGCGCCGAGATTCACAGGTATAGCGCCGCGGACCTCGGCGCTAAAAAGCCCTGGGGAGAACCCTGGGTTATATATGCACAAAAGATACACATCAGTCAGTGTGCATGGTAAAATTACTTACAGTTAATGACAGTGGAATATCTTCATCGGCCTTCAAGTTGTGGCAATTATGGAAATACAAGTTGTACAGACCTTCTTGTTTCTCACTAGTAATAGCGACCACAAACTGGAACTGCAGAGTAAAAAGATTATATAGCACCATCAGCAGGAATAGAATGTGGATGAAGAAGAAAATAAATCATTGTTGGTTTTGAGGAATTACATCAATCCTACAAAGTAAATACAGTGACCCCTTGCCAAGTCACGCCTCAGTAAGTTGTGATTACGGCTAAATCGTGGGTACCGATAGTTGAATGGCTCCCAAAATTTCTATTGTGTTTTGCCGATAGTTTTGAAGTAGAAGAACTACCCCCCCCCCCCATCGGTAAGTTGCGACCCTCAATAAGTCACAGTTTTTGCTCTGATCCCGACACCCACGATTTAGCGAGGGGCCACTGAATAATAAAATATTCCTCATAGTGTTCACATGCAAGGATCAATGCCAGCCTTATCAGTGAATAGTGCTGCACTTCATTAACAAGTCAAGTCATCACAAGGTTCCTGTTGTGCAATAGTATTTAAATTGAAATGAGTTGGCATTTTGTGTAATACCGGTACTACCTTACTTCCCCAATCATGAGCCCCTCCCTGATCATAAGCCCAACCCCCATATTTTTAGACATTTAACGAGTTGAGGGGATCCTTGATTATAGGCCCAGGGTGTTTTTATCGGGTGTCGACAAAATGGTTCCCACCCTTTTTATTGTGTTATCCAATCAGGATGAACCCCATTCATATCTCTTTGAGTGGTACATCTAGCTTCGAAATGCCAAAAATTTGATTGGCAAGTCATGAAAACTGGATATAATTATTCGGAAAAGTAAAATGATATCCTACGAGGATATCATTTTACTCTTCCGAATAATCATATCCATTGAGACTATCGTGAATGGAATATAAATGAATAAACTAATTCCTCGATGTGTCCTGTTGTCGACCAAGAAAGGTGTTAAAATACTTCCTCCACACATTCTACTTTTCGAAAATTGTGAATCACCAGTTTGCAGGGGGGAAAAAATCAGTGCTGAAACTCACTTCCGCGATGGGTTTAAAAAAATTCTGTCGGTACGACACAACATTCTGATTGGTTAATGAAAGACTTGACCTGTTAGGTCAAAGGACGTTGTTTTAGGTCAAATCGCGCTGAAAAAAACATGGTGGAAATAATTTTTCATCAAGAATTTGCGTATAATCGAAAACGTCACACAACAAAGATAATGATAAAGAGTTGCCTTTGTCTGTTTTCCCACAGACCCTACCCATATTTACACCGTAAATTCAGACGATATAACCATATTGTAATAACGTGTTTGTTTCTTCATTGTGAAAGTGTTGTGGAAATCAGTGATGACTTGTTTCGCTTTTTTTTTTTCTTCAAAAAGACGTAATATTACCCGAGCCAGGCCTGGTGAATGAAAGATGTAATTTGGATAATTTTTCATGGGTTACAATGTTAAACCAAAAAAAAAAATCATCTTTTCTGAGGTGGTCTTCGAGTATAAGCCCACCCCTTACCTTCCCCGATTTTTCATGTTGATGCCCTTGGGCTTATGATCGGGAAAGTATGGTAATAAAAATTATCATCCAAATATACATGTATATCATATCAATGCATGGCAATATAAGTCAATATTGGATTTGAAATACTATGAAATCCTGAAGTTGTATTTGTTTAACTCAATCGTTCATAAATGCATGTGCAAGACAGTAACAGCGCTCGTCATAAACTTTGAATATGACAAACAAATTGCTGACATAATCAAACAACATAACGCGCACTAGAAACCCTCTTGAAGGTTTTTTTAAGAACCATCAGGAAATGTGTCCAACCTTAAATGATTCAAGTTAAAATATTGGCTTACAGAAAATGAATACTTGTGATCTTCTAGACGCTGTAATGACATGGTCCTCACTAGTGGAAGTATCACTGCTTCCCTTTTCTGTTTAGGAGATTGTGGTGATAAATTTATTTCTGCATCGGCAGCCGCTTGCAATGATGTATCAACTGGATTTGCTTTATCCTCAGGATTTTCATTGTCTTTTTCTTCCGAATTGTGATCAAGATTCATCACCTCCTCTATCAAATTATCACCAGTGTTTACTACCGGTTTAGTATCACTTTTCTCATTCACAGTTTCTCCCTCAGGTTTAGTATCAGTTTTCTCATTCACAGTTTCTCCCTGAGATTGAGTATCACTTTCCTCATTCAGAGTTTCTCCCTCAGGTTTAGTATCAGTTTTCTCATTCACAATTTCTCCCTCAGGGTGAGTATCACTTTTCTCATTCACCGTTTCTCCTTCAGGTTTAGTATCAATTTCCTCATTCACAGTTTCTCCCTCAGGTTTAGTATCACTATCAGTTTTCTCATTCACAGTTTCTCCCTTAGATTGAGTATCACTTTCCTCATTCACCGTTTCTCCTTCAGGTTTAGTATCACTTTCCTCATTCACAGTTTCTCCCTCAGGGTGAGTATCACTTTTCTCATTCACTGTTTCAGATTGAGTAGATTCGGTCTCTTTCACAGATTCTTCCACAGGTGAAGTATTACTCATCACTTTCTCATTTGTGTTCCCATATCTATGAGCATCATAATATTGTTTTTCGTCCTCATAAACCTCCAAATTTTCTAAATCAGGACCTTGTCTTTCCACTGTTACACTATTAAACAAGAACATAGTATAATTAATATAACCTCACTAAACAAGCAGCCTGTCGACTGAGATAGCTCCGCTGTTAGCAATGCGCATTGCAATTAAAGAACAGAAGATATCATTAGAAAATGAACAATATGTATAGTATCAAAGCAATTGGACTTGCTGTTTTCAACAAGAATTCAAAAATATCACTTCACCAAAAATGACAAAAATATTCATCAAAATTAGATAACTGAAGATATCATCATGAAGTGAACAAATCTGAGAGAGGTTCACATGTAGTACCTATATATGTAATATCAAAGCAATTAGACTTGTAGTTTTTAACTAGAAGTCGAAAATATCACTTTTTACCAAAAATTACAAAAATATTTACCAAAATTAGAGAATTAAAGGTATCATTACAAAATGAACAAATCTGAGAGAGGTCCACATGTAGTACATATATATGTATTATCGAAGCAATTGGACTTGCGGTTTTTAACAAGAAGTCGAAAATATCACTTTTTACTAAAAATGACAAAAATATTCACCAAAATTAGAGAACTAAAGATATCATCATAAAATGAACAAATCTATGAGAGGTCTACCCAAGGTACATATACACCAAGTATCAAAGCATTCAGGCTTGTAGTTTTCAAAAAGAAGTCAAAAAAGTAAAACATTGACCATGGAAGGTACTAACGGAAGGAGCGACGACGCTATTGCCATGATCGTTTGTCAATGTTTGTTCAGAAACATTGGTTCTCGTTAGCTCTTAACACCATCGTACAATGGGTTACGCTAGTCTTGAGCATTCGGTAATATTTGGAGCATGTTCGGAAGCGATAGACAAACCTCGCATGTACAATGCTGAAAATGGCGTCTAGTTTGAATGCTGTTGTTTCCGGAGATCTTGGCAAACTTTAATGAAAAATTGGCAGATATAACATTGATTGAAGAAGAACTGATGAACTATCGTGAAACTTTTTGTATTTGAAATGGTGATGAGACTTAATCAATGATTGCCGGTGATAATAACGACTGCATTATTCAATGGAACCATTGTCATTGCGTGGGTTTGACGCCCGAAACTATTGAAATTTTCGACCACCGGGCATCGACGAACACCACCAGAAAAGATAGTATCAAAAGAAGGGCATGCCTAGACACTTTCTCTGTGATAATATTTTTTAGGAGTCCTTAGGAATTTTTGTTGTAGACACTCGAAATTTTGTTCTTGTTACAGTTGCTAATAACTAAAACATGCGAAATCTGTAAAGTCAAACGTTCATCTGTTGAATTTCCGGTTGTGAAATACGTATTTTGACCTTTCACACTTAAACAAACCAAGTGCGCATGTGTGATGACCGTACAATGTAGTTTCATAATGCACATATATTTTATGGTCACATTTAAAAATCGGCGGGGTTGTATCATATTCCACTAACTCGTTACTTGTGTAAACAATCGCAAACTATCATCGACATCAAAGATGAGTTAGACAATGTCCTCATCAGGATTAACTTGGGTTGAAACAAAAGAAAATAAGCCTGTTAAGAAGCTTAAGTGGCCACTTCAGAAGCGTCGTGGCTCCTTCCGTTAGTACCTTCCATGCATTGACAGAAGGCGACGGCGGACAATCACTCATATGATAAGCTCCGCTCGACAAAGTGAACAGCAGCGCTAATAACAAAAGATGGACACAAGTAGGAATGGTGACTCTATATGAGGATAGCTAGCTACATCAATTCACAAAATCACTCATGATTTTGGATGATTTGTCTACCTATAACAAAGCATGTCTGTAAGTCCTTTCAAAACAACAGATAACAGTCAGACCAATCAGAGCGCAGCTTGTTTGTCAACAGTTAACACAGTCATGCTTTGACTCAACTGTAAGCCCCAACTGTCTTCAGTCAGGGCTAAAATAGTAATATCCATTAGTCTAAAAGTTAACCTAGAAAAAACATAAATTTTATACTCACGAATTATTATTAAGATTTAAGATAAACAACACCATATTAACCGATCTTTTGTCTTCTGTGCTTAGTCGCTTTGACAACATACATTCTTCGGTGTGTTTTTCCTACAAAGGTTAAACAAATTAACTGCATAATGTACAGGTTCTTGACAACTGATATTATTTTATCAAGGCCATTAGTTTACCCACAGGATTGTCTTCAAAGTACAAAACTACCTATGCATTAGTGAGAACAGCACTGAAAATATTTTATGACAAAATCTGTTTATTTTATGTAAATCCTATCAAATAATAATAATGCACAAAATGACAGACAAAATATTTTTGATTGCATTCTCTTTATCTCTGCGAGTGATGCACATGTAAAAATGAAGAAATTTATAAGAATTTTACCGAGTAGCGTAATACCGTACCTCAAGTATGGATGTGACTAACACAGTTTATTTTTCACATGGGAATGCTTTATTAGCTCTATTAGAAGCACATTTCCAATAGACGTCCCTACCTAACATTACAATTATTATAAAGCGGATAAATCATGTTTTATCATGCTGTAGCCATTGTTGACTAATTCGTGTTTCAAGCCTCGCTTTCAGACACACTGGAAGGGTGATCGCGTTGCATAAAAATGTTGGTCTGTACATGTTACTTACACATGCATTACGCTACTGTGATCATTTTGCCAAATAAATATATACAACCAAATAAAAGAATAATATACCTACACTATTTTTATTTTATTTTATTTCAATGTTACCAGAAACACACTAATTATTTTATTTGGCCTGAGGGACATGTAAATACCCATACTTACAAGATAGGAAGATATTCCATCACTGACAGTCTTGTCCAATGAGAATCCAAAGATCTCTTCTTCCTTTTCAATGTTTTCTTGATATCTATCATCAAGTATAAGGCCTGTCATGTTGACCTTCAGGAAACCACCTTTGAAAAACCCAAATTTGCTGAGATCAACTTGAGAGCGTGTTTCATCCTACGAGAAAAGAACACATAGTGGTAGATGTAAATTTATTTTTTATGAAATAAGGTTTATAATTTCACTGGTTTTCAAAGAAAACAATCTATGGTTAGCTTTGAGTAAAAGGTTTGAAATGAGCACATTTAGTGCAATACATGAAAATAAAGCCCATTGAAATTAAGCCCTACATGAATAAGCAGATACTGGCACCCAGTCACAATGTTCAACTACTCAATACTCTCCACTTACTAAATAGTAATGCATAGCCACAGAAATAACATTTAGTACTCAGCATTTTAATTATTTGTGAGAAAATGAAACAGAATTTATCTAAGAACTGCCTATATGTGGAATTCAAACTTATAAGCTGAGCTATGTTTTACAGATCTGTGAATTAATAAACAGATTTTGCTGTAAAAACAGATAAATGGCAAATTTGGTCGTTATCGATACTTGCTTTTATTTGTTAAATTAGTCTCCATTACAATGTGTTTCAACTCAGATAGCCAACAAAAATCAATTCTACTACTGTGTAATACGTATGAATTTGAATAATATCATTGGATTCAAGAAGATTCTGAATGTGAATAAACTGAAAATAGCAACTTTACTAAAAATACATCGCTGCTAGATCATTACCATATACATGTATGTGACTTGGCTACTGTTACCTCAAGTTTGCGGTTAGACTTGCATACAGTGTCCTGTTTAGTTTTTGGTGTGTTTTTTTTTCAATAAAATTAAATGTGGGAATGTATAAATGGCGAGAGCTGGGTTAACGTCGATTGGTGGAATATTAAAAAACCTGTAAATCACTTTACCACGCACTGAACCCTGACAGGAGACAATCACCACTGGTGTCACAAGAGGGCATTTACAAAGGTCATGGTAACCCAGTTTTCGTTTTTTTTAAATTATAAAACAACAAAAAATAAACAAGAAACTGTATGCAAGCCTAGGTGAAGTTGTCTATTGTCTTTGGGAAAGGATAATGCAAAGAAGACAGATAGTCCAACACTCAGTTATATTTTGTCTGAATGAAACAAACCATTTGTTATATGTTGGATATTTGTTTTCACAAAACGAAGTCTAAGTTATAACACTGTAACAAAGGAGCATTAGAAATCAAGTTCAGGTAGATGTAAATAGTGAAATTTAATATTTGAAATTTGACATTTCAGGAAATGCACACACATATAGGACTCCAATAAATTTTTGCTGAAAAGGCTTTTTTAGTGTTTTTTATGGAATTTATTTTCACTGATTTTTGATGAGTTGAATGTGAAATATAGGAAAAAAGGTATATTAATGGGATTTTACACCTACAGCGAAAATAGCGGAAATAAATTCCAAGCGGAAATAAAATATTTCAGTGTTCTCCCCAGGAATTTAAACCACTGTGGCGGCATAATTTGCATATAATTTGCATATCATTTACATACTAATAGAAATTGACCAAAGCACATTTACACCCACACAATAAACAACATATATTTTCAAAAACAAAGTGGCAGATATTTATTTGCTTCACAGTGTTATAAATACTTTTTTTGGGACACTTTTGTAATATTAATGAGCTCCGTCACAGTGCAAATATTTTGTTTTTTTGCAGTCAGAAAATTACGTTTCACAACTTAGAAGAGTTTGAATTTAAAAATGAAACATTCTCGAAATGCAAATGCTGCAGACTAAAAAAAAAGGGTGAATGAATGAAACGCATCTGAAATGTTTCAGCCAGGATTATGTTCACGACTTTCATGATCTTATTTACTACAAAATTCTCCTTCAAAAAATCGACCACGTAATTATTTGGCGGATTGCTGGTTATTATTCCGACCATCAGCTTCTACAACGTTTACATTTACAGTAAATGAACGAACAAATAACACTTTATCGGGAGAAATTATTTTTGATCACTTTGGTTAAAAACACAGACCCGCCATGATAGCTGTGACGCGTTAGTTGACCGCATGTGTCATTTGATCCGGTAGGTCAAAAACGCCATTAACCAATCAGAATAACGCATGGTAATGCCGGTAGAGCCCGAAGTTTTCCGAATGATCGTGATCATAAAAATTACATTGCGGAAGTAAAGTGATGTCGTAGCACGATGTGTTGGTATGGATTTCAGATGAAAACTGCATGATGGTTTTTGAAAGAGATGATTAGCAATTTTTAAAATTTAAAAGAAGGCTTAAAAGAAGAGTTTTTACATGATTCACGATGATAACAGTTCAAATGTATTTTACCCAATCAAGCAATAAACACGTTGTAGCGTAAACTGATCATGAACTCCGCTTTGCCCATGTTACATCCGGGTGGAATTTTGAAAGAATTTTAGCTTTCAATCTAAAAACTGTGTCTATCGTCAGAAAATATGTACTTACTTACAAACAAAGAGGTGCTAATTTTACAAAATTGACTTGTATTGTTTAAAGCCGCTACCACATCGCACAACTATGTCTATTGTTTACAAATTATTATTCACGATTGGCAGGATGCTTGTCGGTCGGTACGTAAGTATAATAACAATATGACAATGGTCCTGGTCAGAAGCGTTTCCGTGGTGGTCGCTAATTTTGAGTGCCAGTCGGGCCGACCAGCGTGACGAGATCCCCAATGAAAAAAGCACTGTGGCGGTCTTGCTAATCACCGTGGCGGTGTCAGATCGGTGTGGCGGCAAATCAAAGCACTGTGGCGGCACCGCCACGCTGTTTACATCCTGGGAAGAACACTGTATTTTATAGTATACGTGTTTAGCCCGAGTCTAGTTATGCTCCAATAAGTTTTCAGGGTTGAGCTCTGATAGGTTTGGGCCTCAACATGGCTCCAACCAAGTAAAAGCAATCATGTCGAAATCAAGCCTCAATTGTCTTCTTCATGTAACCCTGCATTACAATTATGGTGGAGCCAACGTTGTTTGTAGTTTCTGGCTTGGTACGCATCCTAATATCTATTTGGCAGAATGAAGAAATACTGCAAAAGATTGATAGCTCTTCGAGAAACAGAAAAATGGTATATAAAATTATGCGAAAAAAAAAGTGAAAGGATGACTGAACAGAACAAATGAAAATAGAAGATACTTTTAAAAGACACCAAAGTTAAAAATCGTAGAAGCGGTCATAGAACAGCAACAACAGCAATGTTCCTACTAAGTTTAGGCATGGAGCTAAAAAAAGGAGAGTGAACTCCTATTGATGCTATTGTTACCATGACTTCTGCCGACTATTTGGTCAACAGATAACACTTGACGGGTTTATGGGGGGGATTACTGGACGTGAATATTTAATTAGTCATGATCGGACGTTCTCGGTCGTTATTACAAAGCAGAGTGAGGGACGAAAAAAACTTTAAAACGACTCAAGTAGGAAAAAAACAAGGCCAGAATTACACAGTAACTTCTAAATTGGTGATGTGTAATACACAAGTAATTGTGATGGAATCAATGTTGTAGGGAACAAAGTGTCGTTAACTTCCAACCCGCCACAATATAACTATCCCCTATCCCTTAATCAACACAAATCAAAGCAACGCAATGCATGTCAAATTCAATCGGCGATTGCCGGTTTGGCTGTGATATGCTGCTATTGGCACCTACCCTCGCATGACGTAGAAGAGGTCAGCTTACTATTTAACTAAATTTCGGTGTCCGCAGAAAAAGATTTTACGAAAAAATAGAATTTACCGGAGCTCAAATTTAACGCCTCGTTTATCCAAAGCATGTGTTGTCTATGAGGGCCCACACAGGAAGTAGGACAGATGAACAGAAATGAAAAACATGATTGTGAATTTGGCCATGGGAGCTTGAACTTCAATTCAGGCTTGTTGGAAAGTACATGGAAAACACTATATATCGTGGTAATTTTATCGTCTGCGGCCAAGTATTTTATTTTAAAATCAATTTCTTGGGAGCAATGTTTTCGACATTATGAGAACCACATACATTGTAATAACTTGCTGAAAACCTGTCTGATTTCCATGACTCAAACGCAGACCTGTAGAACTGACGACACTCTTCCAAAATAACCGCTACGCGCATGTTCACCGACCTTTGATGTCAACTGCGCAGAACAAAAATGATCGTTACACCCCAGGAAGGCGATGACGGCTGAATAATCAGTGTGATGGCAGCTGGCAGAAGTAATTGACATGAAAGGCGCGTAAACACAACAGGATACTACTCTGACATGCATCGTGTCATGTAAAGAAACAACAACACAAGCTCGACACAAAAACCTATTTCAGCCATATTGTTTTCATAAGTAATTGTGGACACTGTTCCGTTCGGCTCTGAACGAACTGGATTGAACTTAGGCAGATCCAGGCTCTCGTTCTGCCCCAACTGTGTAAATGCATTAGAAATAATCTCATGTTAATCAGTGGGAGGAGCAGTAGTAGGGCTCCAATAGAATGCTACTGTGTAAACGTAGGCAGCATATGTAAAAACAGCAACAACAATAAGCAAACAATTTCTTAAATGACTACAGTGTATTTACTGTTAAATATTTAGTTTGATCTTAAACACAAAACAGCTTTATATAATGAGGATTTAGGTAATCCCCTCATATGCCTGTAGATTAGCAGCTATTGAGGATCATGTAGTATCTTCTGTGATTTCCCTAATTACCGTACTCGCCCCCCCCCCCTTTTGCACAATTTTCATATTCGGGGTCACATTTGGCAAAGCACCCACCCCTTCAAAATGCCACTAATTTAAATCTTGGTCTTTGATCATTGCTTAACGAATACTGGTAATCGTTTTTACATCATGATACAATACTAGTATATGCCGTGAATATGAATGTGTAGACCACGTATAAACCGTGCGTAAACTACGCTTCGACAATGATCTGTTAATAAAAGTAAAATGCAGTGAATATTTCATGCTGTATTCAGTTTACCTATAAAAAATTGCTTGTTGATTTTTTTTAAGAAGGGTGCTCGAGTAAGAGCCCACCCCTGAAAAATCCTGATTTTTTTGAGTTGAGGATTCACATTATAAAGATACAGATAATCAGTATGAACGACTTGGGGATACAGATGCGAAAAAACTCAGAACTGGCAGAGATGAGAAGGCAAGGCAATTGACACTGGGCTGGGCTACTAAGAACTCGAATGTCATTGATGCCTCGGGGTAAGGCACAACACGCATCATGACTGCGGGAACAGTCCCAAAAAGTACCCTTTTCGTGTGGCGACACTGTGCGCCATAGTGCAGTGTTTTATACATTATGCATGAAGGACAAGGGCGCACAGTATCTATCTATAGGTAACAACATTCTAAATATAGAACTTACAAAGCACAGTGGTTGGTTTGTACAAACATTTTAAATGGTAACTTCATTATATTTTTCACCAAATTAGAAATGCAGACTGTTTCTTTGCAGTTGTAATAATCTTATCATAGTGGTGCATGGAGCAATAATTAAAAATTAAAAACTTTTAATCAAAACACTTCTAACCACTGAACTGATGGCTATTAATTGCCTGTAGTAAACATATAAAGTAAAGAATTATCTCCTAATGGATACATGTATTTTGTTATTTTTAGGAAGCTTTGTTAGATAAAATATAATAATTTGTTTACAAAATTAAAGGGCGATGCTTAATATTAATGTCGATCGCCATCGGCAACATTATACACAGCATTATATTGGAAAATTAGAATCCGGATCCTGACAATTTCGTTATGATGGACAATAACGAAGTCATGTCAACGAGCTGCGACGGTCAACATTGAAAATAAAATGTGTCATGATCATGTGTACTGTTTCCCTTCCACGTACTCAGCTATGTTATTTCGGACAAATAAGAAGTTATATATTATTAGACTACACTAAGACTTCGTCGAAAATATGAATTGTAACCTACCTTTAGGTGAATAGTTTTATGTATCCGTGTAGACCCGAGATTTGTGAAAATCAAAATTAGCCCGACGATAAAACACAACTGTTTCACCTTGGCAGCCATTTTGGAATGAGTAAGTGATGTCATATTCAAAGTCAAACCAAACACACATGAAAGCCGCTTTCTGATTGGTCAGAGTTAACGACGCTTTTGTTTCGTCGTTGGAACCACAGTCCCTCAAGGTGTTGAGAGACTGTGCGTGGTATGACATAAAGACAAGAGTGAAATGCCTTTGTTTAAAATGACCCGAACTTCAAAGAAGAAAATGAAACAAGAATACATGTATGTGTGCAGAGCGTTTTTTTATTTTTATTTTAGCGCCATTGGTTGTACCTCAGACCATGCCAATAAAAAAAATGATATGAAAAATCAGATGAAAATATTAATAAAAAGTAATGTTCGAATTATTTAATTTTTTAGTAAAGTGACTGTTGTACAATCCTGCATTTATTGTAGAGTCTATGATTGTACGAAGGTATGCTGTCGCGGTGATTTTGTTTTATTTTCGAGTATGTGACACTGAGGGCGTCATTTCAGACAGAACACTACCACAACACAAGAAAACATATTGAACTTTCCGTGTTCTAAATAGCAAGTGTAGTGTACGAGGCGCGGAATGTAAATTTATTATTTTGTGTATACTAGAAGAAAACGTTCTAATAATTCAAAATTACGTACGTTTTGGAGGCCGTGGCGTGTGTGTTTTAAAATGACGTGTGCATTTAAAAAAACGGCGTGACTGTGCGTTTTAATGGTATGTGCTTTAAAAAATCATGTGTATATTAAATGGCGTGGGTGTTTTGAAAAACGTGTGTTTTAAAAATGATATGTGTCTTAAAATGACGTGTGTGTTTTACAATTATGTGTATTTAAAAAAACGTGTGTGTGTTTAAAAATGACATGTGTATTTTAAAAATAATGTGTGTTTAAAAAATAACGTGTGTGTAAAAACGATGCATGTGTTTAAAAACGACGTGTGTGTTTTAAAACGACGTGTATGTTTAAAAATGACCTGTGTGTTTTTAAAAATGGCGTGTGTTTAAAAACGACGTGTGTGTTAAAAAAATGACGTGTGTGATTAAAAATAACGTGTGTGTTTTTAAAAACGATGTGTGTGATTAAAAATGGCGTGTGTTTAAAAACGACGTGTGTGCACAAACGAAAATGGCTACCACTTGAGACGACGCCTCCACAGGCGTGAATAGGTTAAAGGGGAGCAGAGGTGTGGCTTTTGACACTCTGTACATGAAAATTGAGATCTATGAATGAATTCTGTCGATAAAAACAACTTGTATGTGCTGCGAAATGCCCTAAATATCGGGTATAAACGGGCTGTGAACCAACGACAAACTTCCGCTTTTCCT